CAGAGATTCTTATTTTAGGCCACAGTTTCAGGAGTTAAAAAGGACTGTAACAGGTTTGATAGGTGAGTTGGCTAAAACATGGAGAAAAAGGTGGCCAACAGTGAGATATATAGTAATGGTCAATCTGCTTTGTTTGATGTAGGGAAAGAGACTCACAGTCTTAAGGTGGGGTTGGAATATTTAAGTGGATTTGTCACTTAAGATCTACTAATTCACACTGGGACTGTGCAAAAGGCATCCTTATCACCAACAAAATGAGAAACATTTGTGAAGGGAGCTGTAGCTCTTGAAGATCTCCATATGTGGTCTTCTCTAAGACCAACTCTTACAAAGGGAACTACAGCCACTAAATTGAAAAAATACAGTGATATTTATTGGATGCCAGGGTGGCAGGTGCCAACTGGCAAAAATCAACCACCAAAGGTACTGTGGTCCTAGTAACTGTAATGGACAGCAGCATCAGAATAGTATGATTCATATAGACCTATGGCATTAGCTAGGTAATCATAGTTTCCTTAGAAGTAAAATAGGTGCTTATTAAATTCTTACTTGATCTCTGTAAGCAGAAAAGATTTAATTCAAGGGAACCAACATCTAACTAAAATTATTAAAATATATAGTTATGGTTCCTCATTAATTCCCAGAATTGAGCCACTTTACAGCCCCAAGAACCATTCAATGAAGGGGAGTCTGGGTCCTCTAAAGAAGGACTTGCTACAATAGCCAGAATTTTTATTTTTTAATATTTATCCCACCCTCCCCGAAGGGACTCAAATATTTTGTGAAGGTAAATGCACTGGGGAAAAGGAAATAATCATAATTTTCTGTAACTACTGAACACTTTATTTTTTGGGCTCCAAAATCACTACAGATGGTGACTGCAGCCATGAAATTAAAAGACACTTGCTCCTTGGAAGAAAACCATGACAAACCTAGACAGCATGCTAAAAAGCAAAGACATTACTTTGCCAACAAAGGTCCATCTAGTCAAAGATATGGTTTTTCCAGTAGTCATGTATGGATGTGAGAGTTGGACTGTGAAGAAAGCTGAGCACCAAAAATTAAATGCTTTTGAACTGTGGTGTTGGAGAAGACTCTTGAGAGTCCATTGGACAGCAAGGAGCTCCAACCAGTCCATCCTAAAGGAAATCAGCCCTGAATATTCATTGGAAGGGCTGATACTGAAGCTGAAACTCCAATACTTTGGCCACCTTATGTGAAGAACTGACTTATTTATAAAGACCCTGATGCTGGAAAAGATTAAAGGTGGGGGGAGAAGGGGATAGCAGAAGATGAGATGGTTGGCTTGCATGACCGACTCAGTGGGCATGAGTTTGAGTAAACTCCAGGAGTTGGTGACAGACAGGGAGGCCTGGTGTGCTGCAGTCCATTGGGCCACAAAGAGTCAGACACGACTGAGCAACTGAATTGAACTGAAGCTCTCCATCTCTCTGTCATAGTTTAGCTTGTAGAGCTGTTCATCATTTTTCTCTTCCAAAGAACGTAACACTTGTCCTGATACTGATGGAATGATGCTGACTGGACGAAGGGAACAAGAAGCAGCAAATGCTCTGGCTTGTTGGTGAAGGACTTTCCTATCACTGGGTAAGAAATAAACATGTCTAAGTTTCAAGGGTCTTCTGACTCAGTGAAGTTTCTAGAGGGCCAAGTGGAGCACGCTGAGATGGCTCTTCTCAGATGAATAGTCATTGCTGCATCTGTTGTTTCCTAGAGCAAAGAAAGTAGGGTCAGATATCCTGGGCCTTTTCAGATTTGGGAGGCAACATATTGTTTTTTTAAGTGTGTTCCTATGGCCCATTTCCCAGGTGACCCAAAAGCTGCTAGTTTTGAGTGAAGCCTAGGACAACAGAAGGCTCTGCAACAGGTCCAAGCTATTATCTAAGCCTCTCTATCACTTGGTCCATATGTTTCAGTAGATCCAATGGTGTTTGAAGTGTCCATGGCAGATAGGGATGCTTCTGGAAGCCTTTGACAGGTCCCCAAAGGGAATTACAGCTCAAACCTTTAGGAGTTTTGAGTAAGACTCTTTCATTCTCTTCAAATTGCTCTTCTTTTAATACTGAGCTCTTGACTTGCTACTGGGCATTAGTAGAAACTGAATACTTGATCATTTCCTACCAAATTACTGTAAGACCTATGATATCTTTTATGAAATAGTGTTATATAATTATAATATTAAAATGCTTGTTTTAAAGTACATGTAAAAAAAAAAAAAGATACACTATGGTTGTGATAAAAAATAAAAAATAAAAAAAAAAAGACACATATGTATTGAAAATAAAATAGAAATGTAATATGTGATGTTTATTCCTGTATTTACCATAATTTTTTTGTATATTTCTGATATGAAATTACCAACAGTTTATGTTACTACAGGCTAAATATTTGTTTGACATTGTTGATAGATCAAGACTGATAGTAACAATTCTGCTTTGTTTTCTTTTACTGAAAGTTTCTACTTTTAATTCCAATCTTTTTAAAATTTCTTTTTAACATTTTGCTAATGTGTAAAGTGAAAGCCGCTCAGTCATGTCCGACTCTTTAGGACCCTATAGACCATACAGTCCATGGAATTCCCCAGGCCAGAACACTGGGGTGTGTAGCTGTTCCCTTCTCCAGGGGATCTTCCTAACCCAGGGATCAATTTCGGGTCTCCCAATTTCAGGTGGATTCTTCACCAGGTGAGCCACAAGGGAAGCCCAAGAATACTGAAGTGGGTAGCCTGTCCCTTTTCCAGTGGATCTTCCCTATCCAGAAATCGAACTGGCGTCTTCTGTACTGCAGGTGGATTTTTTACCAGCTGAGCTGCCTGGGAAGCCCTAATGCATGAAATGTAATAAACAGTGAATGTTGAAAGCTTATAATTAGATATATTTTGCACATGTGTACACCAGTGAAACCACTGTTTCAACCAAGATAAGGAACATGTCTATCATATGTAGACATTTTCTCATGCTCCCTCCTTTCACCATTTTCCACAACTCACAAAATATCATTTAAATTTAATATCATTGTGTCACATATGTTCATAATCTGACTTGTCTGTTTGCGTTTTGTTTATTTGTTTCGTCTTACATTTTTGGTATTTTTTGGTAATTTTTTTCCTTAAAAAAGTAAAGATGCATGTACCATTGTGTTGACAACTGTAGACTTAAAAAAATAAGGTCGTAAATTTTTATCCCCACTCCCAGTATCTAACAGTGTGTGTGTCTACTCCTTTGTAGTAATACTGAAGGTCATTCAAATTTTGATTTACAATACTCAGCAGAGAGACTTTTATTTTCAGTTTAGTTCAGTTCAGTTGCTCAGACGTGTCCAACTCTTTGCGACCCCTTGAATCACAGAACGCCAGGCCTCCCTGTCCATCACCAACTCCCGGAGTTTAGTCAAACTCATGTCCATTGAGTTGGTGATGCCATCCAGCCATCTCATCCTCTGTCGTCCCCTTCTTCTCCTGCCCCCAATCCCTCCCAGCATCAGGGTCTTTTCCAATGAGTCAACTCTTCACATCAGGTGGCCAAAGTATTGGAGTTTCAGCTTCAGCATCAATCCTTCCAATGAACACCCAGGACTGATCTCCTTTAGGATGGACTGGTTGGATCTCCTTGCAGTCCAAGGGACTCTCAAGAGTCTTCTCCAACACCACAGTTCAAAAACATTTAATTTTTGGTGCTCAGCTTTCTTCACAGTCCAACTCTCACATCCATACATCACCACTGGAAAAACCATAGCCTTGACTAGACGGACCTTTGTTGGCAAAGTAATGTCTCTGCTTTCTAATATTTTATTTTAGACCAAAGCTATTAACTTTGTGAAGGAAATTTTCAGACATCAAAGTACTTAGAAAAATTTACCATAAATATATGAGTATTCCAAAACAACAATTAAAATGCACATTTTAGTATAGAAAGAGATTGAGAAATTTTTAACATCAGTGAAAAATATACACCTTAAGGAACATGCAAAGAATGTTGTGTAATTGATTCAAAAACCCTTAAAGTAGCAGATTGCAAGTCTGTTGAGATTGATTCCATCTTTATATCATTTATACATAGCTGTAGCTTCTTTGTATGTGCTCTTTAATTGTCCAGGAGTCTAGAGTGAGCTTTTTAACACAGTGATGAAAAGATTTCCATTGTTAGAGAGGACAAATTCTAATGCCAAAGTGCTATTCATATTTACTAAAATTTCCTTGCCAAAGGTAATCATATAGCTAAACAAAGGGTCAGTCTAGGAAGGAATGACAAAAAAAATGGATATAAGAATAAATGATTTACTGGGGGCCCTTACCATATAGATGTAATGTGTTTTATTAACGACTGCATATTTTTCTATTATATTTATGCACAATATTTATTAAAACCTTTCTCAATATGAGCATTTGTTTTCCTGTTTTTTCCTGCTTAGAAAAATAGTGCTGCAATAAACATTACACTGCACATTATTGTTTTTATAAGTACTTCTCATGCTTATAGCCTTACATGTTTAGGCTTTTTTCTTCCTATGAGGAAGTCACTTAGTAATGATTCTGTGGCATCTGAGGGTGTTTATTTATTTAATAGAGTATATAAAGCAGAGTATAGAAAGGCATAAGAAAGGGAAAAGGGCATAGTTTCAATCATAGCGCATCCTGAACATCACACCTTCTTGCTTACTCAGACATCTCTACTCACTAGTTTCCAGCAAGGAGGAAACTGATCTTGAAGAGTGAACCATTGCTAAGTGAATGAACACAATCGCCATACACTTGAGGACATAACTCTGCACTAAAAGGAGGTTACAGCATGAGCTGCATTTAAACATTTAGGACAATACTGAACAGTAAATTTCAATTAAGTCTGTGAGCAAATTACATACATAAATGCAGCATAACTTCTGTATTATTTCAAATGTCTCGTAATCCTGATAATTAGGGAAGAAACTTTCTCATTGCCTTTCTGACGTCTTTGTTCCGCAGACTATATATGATAGGATTGAACATTGGAGTCAAAATGGTGTAGAAGAGAGATATCAGCTTGTCTAGTCCTTCATGCTCATTTGATTTAGGCTTTAAGTAAGTGACAGTGGCTGATCCATAGAATAAAAGTACAACGGTGAGGTGGGAAGAGCAGGTGGAGAAAGCTTTGGTCCGCCCTGTGTTTGCTGGCAACTTCAGGATGGTGGAGATAATTCTGATATAGAATCCAAGTATCAGCAAAAAGGGAACAGTGACAAACAATATACCGAATATATAGACCACCATCTCATTCACAAAGATGTCTCCACAAGCCAGTTTTAACAATGGCGGAATGTCACAGAAGAAATGATTGATTGTGTTGGAGCCACAGAAAGGCAGAGAGAAAATCTGGCATGTTTGGCCTATTTGGACCGGAGTGCCACTGAGCCAGGAGGCAACCACCAGCCCGACGCAGACCTTGGGGTGCATGACCAGGGGATAGTGCAGAGGGTCACAGATGGCCACACAGCGGTCATAGGCCATCACGGCCAGGAGGAAGCACTCAGTGGCTCCAAGGATAAGGAAGAAGCACATTTGTGTAGCCCAAGTGAAAAAAGAAATGGTTCCTCTCTGGGTCCAAAGGTCCATGAGCATCCTGGGAAGAGTGACCGATACAAAACAGATTTCTAGGAAGGAAAAATTGCCGAGGAAAAAATACATGGGCGTCTGAAGAGTGGCATCTACTCTGGTTATTAGAATTATGACGCCATTCCCCAACAGGATAATCACATAGATGACTAAGAATATCCCAAAAAGAAACCATTGAAATTGGGGAATATCAGTGAAACCCAAGAGGACAAATTCCATCATGATAGTGAGATTTGTTTCTGTAATTTTCAAATGATCTTCTCTCTCTAAATTTACATTTCTTGACTGCATTTTCTTTTTGCACAATTGGACTAGGACATGGGCTTTAGTCTTAATCAGTTCTCAGGTACTTTCTTACACACTTGTGTTCTGTGATTTGGGGAGATTTGATTTGAAATCAGGAGCTATAAACTCATCTGTGGAAAAAAAATCTTAAATGATTTTAATGTTACATCTACATTCTAATAAAATCCATATGTCTCATCATTTTAATTTAAATTATGGCTAAATGGAGAATGGAGAAAGCAGATAAACTACTACTTATAGTCAAACCGTCAACTTAACTATTAATTGTCTGACTTCCATGATTTTTATTCCCCAATCAATCTCATCTATGTCTGGTCTAAAACATCTAACACAATATTCTATTGGCTATTTATGTATCCTTTTTACCCTTAACATTATGTCTAATAACTCATTCTATAAAGATATGGCATAAGGCTCTGCCCTAATTTACTGCTTCATAAATGCTTCTGAATTAACTTAAAAGTAGAAATCATTATTAGAAATGGTTATTTTCTAAGGAGTGACAAAGTTCAAACTCTTAAAAATGTAAGAGACAAAGCTTTTCTATTCAAGTTCATAACGTTCCAAGGATTAGAATTCCAAATTACTGTATTAAAATACATCTCATTGCTTAGAAACACAACTTTTTGACATTTAACTGTTTTTAATCCTAGTAATTTTGCTGGAGAAGGAAATAGCAACCCACTCCACTGTTCTTGTCTGGTGAATCTCAGGGACGGAGGAGCCTGGTGGGCTGCCTTGTATGGGGTCGCACGGAGTCGGACACGACTGAAGTAACTTAGCAACAACAGCAGCAGTAATTGTGGACATTTAAATACTTTTTCGCCAAAATTAAATGTTCCTAGGGAAAAGAAATATCAATATATATAAAAGTTTCACAAATGTAGTCAGATATTATGTCCAATTCCTTCCCTGTTTGTGGTGTGATTTGATTAACATAAACAATAATAAAAATCAACCAAATAAGTTAAGTTAAATATTCTTTTTCAGGAAATTATAATTTGGATGTGGAAAAAAAAAGCATAAATGCTTCATATATTTCCCTATAGAGGGAAGCGCTCATATGTTCAGATGTGTTCAACTCTTTGCGACCCTGTAGCCTGCCAGGCTCCTCTGTTCATGGGATTCTCCAGGCAAGAATACTGGAGTGGGTTGCCATACCCTCATCCAAAGGATCTTCCTGACCCAGGGATCGAACCCATGTCTCTTATGTCTCCTGCACTGGCAGGCAGATTGTTTACCACTAGTGCCACTCAGGAAGCGCTATAGAAGGAAATTCACTAATAAAAGGTGATTCTTTCTCATTAAAATTATTTTAGTTGTAATGGCAACACTTACTTCATTGACAGGTTAGCAAAATATGTTTGATTAATTTGGATGCAATATAGCATTCTTTGATTACAGTTTTCTTAATGGATTATTTCTAGAAATGAATAATATTAATGTTATTATCATGTTAACAATAGACACATTAGAAACATATATTTCAAATGCTTCAAGCACATTATTTAACTTTTTAATGCACGAAGTAACAAATCTAACTTAAATAAGGCTACCTTAAAGAATAAACAGGTGTTCAACCCATATATACTCATGATTTCAGATGTTTGACATGTGTGTTAGTCGTTCAGTCATGTCAGACTCTTTGTGACACCTTGGAGAGTAGCCTACCTACTCTGAAATTTTCCAGGGAAGATCGCTGGAATGGGTAGTCATTCCCTTTTCCAGGGGATCTTCCCAATCCAGGGATCAAATCTGGGACTCCTGCATTGCAGACAGATTCTTTACTATCTGAGCCACGAGGGAAAGTCCATATTTGTTTGATATTATTTATCAAATCTTGATCCTGAAATTTAGAAACTATGTTGAATTAAAATAGAATATTAATACAGAATAGTTTATATTTACCTTTTTCAAATTTTTCTGGTTACTTTACTCCTGTTAATGAATTTTTAAATATATTTTAAACTATTACATTGTTTAAGATCTATAAGATTTTTAAACAAGAACTTAACTTGCTTTTATAAAGGAAGGCTTTTTATAGAGGAAATCCTCACTTCTTCCTCTAGGGAATATTTCTTTTCCCTCTATACATCTAAATTGCTAGTTAAATGCAAATTGCTAGTTGAATGCTCATGTTGGCAATTAAGTTGCTGTGTTTTTGCAAACAATTCTTCCATGGTAGACCAAACTTTCCTTCAGGTCTCCCAAAGAATATAATTTCATGCCTTCTCCATTTTCTAAATGCAGTCAGTGGACAAAGATGTCCTAGAAGAAGAAACACTTTGAATGGTCCAACAGTATCTGTAGGAAAATGTTCAAATTCTTTATCAACTCGTTTCTTACCTGTGTTATTTTATTCTCTATAATTCCTCTGGATAGTCTTTTTTCGAAAACCAAGCATCATTATCATCTGAACATGCTCTACTTATTCTCTCACCTTTAAGTGAAACTAAGATTATTTTATTCAAAGTATGAGTATCTCTCAGACACCCTGGGAATCCCTGAATAGACACATACAGCTCATTAATGACATCTATAAACAAAGATTAAGAACAACTATAACATTTGAAGTTTGTTTTTTAAATGTGGATCATTTTTAAAGTCTTTATTAAATGTGTTTCAATATTGCTTCTGTTTCATGTGTTTTGGTTTTTTGATCAGGAATTGCACCCGCGTCCCCTGCACTTGAAGGTGAAGTCTTAACCACTGGACTGCCAGGGAAGTCCCAAGAACAACCATTACTTATAACATTTTCTAAATTAAAAACTCCTCTTTCTTTTTGAACATTTAGTAGTTTACACTTCTCTTGTTCAACCCACATGCATGTATTTTCTGGAGAGAAGCACGTTAAGCATGAATCTAATATTTACAGACTAAGTTTTGCTATTGTTCCTGTAACAGAGTTATTTTCCACGCCTGAGTTTCTGCTCATCTACACTGTATTAGGAGACTATTTCTTCGAATTTTGAGCCTCAGCGTTTTTCCTTAGTCTGGAGGTTTTACTGCCTTGCAGTTATTTTACCACACTTCTCTTAGGGGAAGTTGGGTAATTTCCAATAGTCGCTAACACTAGCGTCTACCAGCTGGATCCTACTTTCACTGCCAAAAATGGAGGATTAGACTCTAAAGGAATGTAAGAGTCGGACACGACTGAGCGACTTCACTTTCACTTTTCACTTTCGTGCATGGGAGAAGGAAATGGCAACCCACTCCAGTGTTCTTGCCTGGAGAATCCCAGGGACGGGGGAGCCTGGTGGGCTGCCGTCTATGGGGGTCGCGACTCAGGCCACATAGCAGCAGCAGCAAAACAATAAAGACTGTGTTTTCTGACTCTAAATCATGTGCCCCTACCATCCCCACAGGTTTTAGGGCAGGCACTTACCACGCAGCATGTGCCGGCAGGAACCTCACGACTGTGCTACACACAGAATTTGGACCAGGAACCCTGGGACTCAAACCACGTTATTCCTGGAAAAGGATCCCTAAACGCCCAAGGATCCCTAAACGCCCAGTGTGCACACAGTGAGAAACTGATGATCATTTCTAGGCTCTGACATGAGCTCCCTGTAGCCAGAAAAGAGAAGATGCATCTTCTATCCCTTCCCCCTCGCCCCGCGTACACACACACAACACTCACCGCTGGGAGGAATTCTTACAAAAATCTCCTTGCTGAAGCTGGAAAATATTCTTATTACCAACAAAAGCTGTATCTGTTTATGGAACTTTATGGATGAAGCAGGGAAACGAGATAAACTACATATAGTACACGCAAAGGTCTGATATATTTTTCCCATCTTACTGTTGCTTAAAAAATGCTTTCCTGTTTCGAAAGTGTTCTTTGAGAGCTGTCTTTGCTTCTGATTTTGACAGATTTGCTTTATACTCAGAACGTACTCTCTGGTAGCTCAGACGGTAAAGCGTCTGCCTGCAATGCGGGAGACCCGGGGTTGATCCCTGGGTCGGGAAGATCCCCTGGAGAAGGAAATGTCAACCCACTCCAGTACTCGTGCCTGGAAAATCCCATGGACAGAGGAGCCTTGTAGGATACAGTCCATGGGGTCACAGAGTCGGACGCGACTGAGCGACTTCACTTCAGAACATACTCTAAGTGGCGCTGATGCTAAAGATTCCACCTGCCAATGCAGGAGACATAAGAGACACAGGGTTCAATCCCTGGGTTGGGAAGATCCCCCGGAGGAGGGATGGAAACCCACTCCAGCTTTCTTGCCTGGGAAATCTCTGATGTAGGAGCCTGGCCAGCTATAATCCATAGGGTGGCAAAGAACCCGATGCTACTGAAACAATTCAGGCCCCCTACACACATCCCCATGCTGAACATACTTGCATAATGACCTCTTTAATATCTAACATATATATACATTTTTCTTATACCTCGCTTCTCTGATGATTCAGATGGTAAAAACATCTGCCTACAATGCAGGGGAACCGGG